TGGACTTCCTCGATGCCAGCGTTCTCCCTGGCATCAAGAACTTCGCAGAAGATTGCCGTGCAAGGTTGCTGGTCTTCAGGGAGAACCTTTCTTCTCAGCAAAGCATTGCAAAATGTTGACTTGCCGGCATTCAAATCACCAGTGATCAGGACTTTGCTTGATGTGTCGGCAATTCGTTCCCGAAGGGCGAGCAGGTGTTTCATGCTCGAACTGATCTTGCCGTCCAACAGTGATGCAATAGAACTCTTCTCGAGAGAGTGAACTAATTCCGCCTGGTGCAGGGCCCCGAGCTTTAGATCCAGCTTCAATATCGAGAATTCCTGAGCGATCTGAGGACTAACGAGTCGTGGTTCGGCTGCGGTTCGATTTTCGGCGGCTCGGCTGGATTCGGCAATATGATCCTCAACCGACGTTAAAGAACGTCTCAACTTTGCTGGATTTATGCCACGTCGATTATCTGGAAGAAAAGAATCGGTTTTAGATAGTCCAGGTCTATTGAACGATGAGTCGACGTCTTCGGCTTCGGCGGCCACGGTTCGTTGAACCGAAGGATAATGTGCCGGCCATGCCGCATTAATATCTCGCAAGCTATCCAGAAGTTCGAGTACTAGGTTGATCGATCGACTAAGTTTGCTTCGCTGGGAATTGTACCACATCTGGTGGATCGCTCCCGTTTGTTGTCGATGGGGGCGTTGGTTGCCTGCAGCGGCAGTCAGGCCGGGATGGTCCTCATCTGGAACACTTCCTCCATATCCAGAGTCCTTCTCAATCATATTCATAAGCCTTGTACTGTGCTGTGACGTGGTTCCGGATCCCACGGCCATAAATTTATGATCTGAGGGTGATTTGGCGGTGTCGTCCTGAGGGGATCCCCGGCCGGCATCGCGGCGTGCAGGCTGCTTGCCCTTCTTAGAGAAATAATCCTCGCTCATTATAAATCGTATTGTCTGAGAACCATGGTAAAAGATCGAGTTTAGAGTTGAGTTGTTCGAGGGTCAGTCTCACGGTGAAGCAGACCAATTCTTGGTGATCGCATGATTTTTAGCAGGTGGCGGCAAATTGACTGACGTCTATTGCATGAGCCCGAGCTCCAGTTTTTAATGCGCGGGAGTGGCTTCATTGGTGAGCAAGGCTCTGCGGCAGAAGTTCGGCGGTTTGTCTCCACCGTTGGGCACAGGCATCTGGTAATCAGGCGCTATCTTATCAGTTCTTGAGAGGCCCCGGTCCCAGTCCCGGCACGAGGCATGACGGTTACGTAGTGGGCTGGGTTGCGCAGACAACGTCCTTGATTTTGCTAGGCATCAGCATTCTCGCATCCTTCAACCTGGTCCAGTCTCGACATCGCACGGTATATTACAATTGGGAGACGGCACTGAATTATTCCAATTACAATCGAGTCGGGAAACGCCGGAAACAACATTATCAGGCCACCATGAACGTAAGAGAACCACCCCAAATGTTCACCCATCCGCTGCTCACAATGAAGGTGGTCAGATCCTCGAATGGGCTTTTGGAAAGCGTATGACGCCCGCGGAGCGTCTACGTAAGAACCAGCGTATGCTGGACAAGGCGATCCGGGAACTCGACCAAACTCGTGTGAAGCTGGAGAAGCAAGAGAAGACGCTCATCCAGCAGATCAAGACAAGCGCGAAAAACGGGCAGATGGGCGCATGCAAAATTCAGGCCAAGGATCTAGTCCGTACGCGACGATATGTTGAGAAGTTTTATGGCATGAGGAGTCAACTTCAGAAAATCTCCCTGCGGCTTCAGGTATGGACAAGCCGTCACTCTTGGTGCAGGCGAAGCAAGACGTACTTGCTACGAGGGCCCAGACATTTAACTGACCTGATGCTATCAATAGACATATCGAACGAACGAGCAAATGATGCAGGCTATGAAAGGTGCTACGATGGCGCTTGGTAGCATGAACAAATCTATGAATCTTCCTCAACTTCAGCGCATTGCAATGGAATTTGAACGAGAGAACGACATAATGGAGCAAAGACAAGAAATGATGGACGATGCGGTTGACGACGCTATGGATGTTGGTGTTGAAGAAGAGGGCGACGAGGTTGTAGAACAGGTATTGGAGGAGATTGGAATTGATCTGAGTCAAGCGGTAAGGATATTTTGGAACCAATATCGACCTTTTCGTCGCCAGCTGACCTGTTTCATTTTTTCCCTAGCTCGGCGACACCCCCACAGCACTCGGGAATCCTGTACAGACAGAGAGCAAGATTGCTCAAGCCGTTGGTGGAGGAGCTGGTGGTGGAGGCAGTGGTGATCCAGTGGACGACGATTTGCAGGCAAGGCTGGACAGCCTCAGGAAATAGGCGAGTGACACTCCGCAGCCTAACGACCCAATTTGATACAGAAGTCGGCCATTTTTACCATGATTGAGCGTGGAGGGTTACCCGCAGGAACCGGGAGTGTATCGGAATCTTTTTCCGTTAATAGTGTTAAGCCATTTTAGGCTACCTACCTTCTTGAAGTTGCTCACAGCTCTCAGTGTGTCAAGATCCGTCTAGAATCAAGCCCCACAATGGACGCAACGAGGGAGGCTGGTCCAGGGCTTTGGAGGCGTTTATGGGGTATGTGGGAGGACGATTTATTGTGTTCTTTGTTTAGGAGGCGTAGACTTTTTTTTCGAGCGGTCAACTTTTTATTATTGAAAGACTAGGTGTTCATATGAAGACTTCTCACGGATCGGTACACCGCTTGTATCCAGTGCTTTATCGGCGAACTATGTGATATGTTACTGGTAACATGGGAACCATTGTCGCCTCTTCTCTCATCCTTCGTCCACCCCGCATCGGATTCCTCCCGTGGGAGGCCAAGTCGCTTCCTCACTCGTCACATCTCCATCTCAAGAAAGTTTAGGTGCGGAGTGGGTATGTGTGTCGCAGCTAGTGCAGCAGCAGATCTTGGTGTAGTGTCCAATACCCCGTACAGGAATCTCAGCGATGCTCCAGTCTGTGGGGAACCCCCACGAAAAGTGTTCGGCGATTATTTCTATACTTGGAAAGTCCCGGCGTCGCTGATCAATTAGGAAATTTTGAGGTTGAGGCTTCATCGACTTACAAGAAGTCGGTGGACAAGAGATCAGAGAGCGTCGGGTACATAGAGGGAGTGTCTCGTCTCTCTAAAGTTCAATTTTTTTCTCCTGCAGCATCAATTCCTCTTCATCCATTCTAATACCTCCAGCAATCCCTCATCTCGCACACTTATACAGTCAGCATGTCTGGAAGCGGTTCACAGCTCAACGTTGCCATTGCAGGCCTTGGTCGCATGGGTCAGTTGACATCACGGATAAATAATGAATGGAAGTAATTGCGTTTCAGGTGACTGACTGTGATTGATAGGAATGCGACATGCTCGCCACTTTGCCTTCTTCACCCCCAAGGCCAACCTGATTGCTGTCACTTCGCCAGTGCAAGCCGAGCTTGATGCCGCCCAAGCTGAATTTGGCCCAATCAGAACCTACCTCGACTATGACGAGATGCTGGCCAATGAGCCAAGCCTGCAGGCTGTTGTTGTTTCCAGTGCCACTACCGTGCATGCTGAGCAAGCTATCAAGGCCATTGACCAGGGTCTCCATGTTCTGTGTGAAAAGCCACTGAGCACCGACGCTGAGATTGTAAGTGCTTATAGGTATCACTAGCATTTGGTTGACCTCGGGTACTAATCAACGCGCCAAGTCTCAATCCGTTGTGGATGCCTATAAGAAGTCTCTCAAGAAGAACCCTGCCCAGAAGGTCATCTGCGGGTTTTCTCGACGCTTCGATGCATCCTACCGTGATGCTTATCGTCGTGTTGCCAACGGTGACATCGGTCGCCCTTCAGTGTTCCGTTCGCAGACTTGCGACAAGCTTGATCCCACTGGCTTCTTCGTCGCCTACGCCGAGTTTAGCGGAGGTATCTTTGTTGACTGCTCCATCCATGACATTGACCTTGCCCTGTGGTTCATGGGCGAGGACAGCGTTGTCAAGAGCGTGTCTGCTGTTGGTATCACTGCTGTTTCACCTGAGTTGCGGAAGCACAATGACAGGGACAATGCTGTTGCCATCATCGAGTTTTACGTAAGTCAACACCGCCGGGCGGTGAATTTGTGAGATGTGACACAGCCAGATGGCTAACCCAAGTAATATAGGGTGGCAAGATTGCCCAGCTCTTCTGCTCCCGTATGATGGCTGCCGGCCAGGAGGACACTACCGAAATCTTTGGCACTGAGGGCAAGATTGCTGTCAACACACAGCCTCAGCTCAACCTGGTTAACATCTACGAGTCGACCGGTATTCGCCGTGAGATCCCACCTGACTACTACGGTCGCTTCCGGGAGGCTTTCATCACTGAGGCCAACGAGTTTACCGACTCTTGCCTCAACAACACCCCTCCCCCCACAAGACTTCAGAGCGCCGTCGATGCCGTCAAGATCGGAAAGGCTCTTCAGGAAAGCTTGATCACCGGAAAGAAGATCGAGTTTGATGAGCTTGGCAGACGTGTTGAGTCATCGAAGCTGTAAGAGGTAGCTTCCGCCAGAGTTGTTTATCGTCTTTTAGTTTGGTAAACTGGGATTAGAGCGAGATTTGTTTGTTTCAAAAATGGCAAGAATGGAAATGATATCACTTCGCAATGAAAGAGAAACCCAATGGCTGAAAGTGAATGACAAGCAAAAGATACTTAGGATATGATAAATCTGGCGAGTTCCCGGGACGGGGGTCTGGCTACCACTACCGCAGGCAGGTGTACTTGGCGCCTGATCTGTGCATGGATGTCCGGAAGCCTGAGAGCTGTTTCCTCAACTTGGTAAGCAAGAAAAGCGTTCCAATATTTAAATAACGATCCAAATCAAGTTTTTGCAATCCATTGCTAAAGTAGAACTTGTGATCTGATTATGTTGCCCGGCCATAGGCACTCCAGAATAGATTTTAAAGCTCAACTCTCTTGGTTTCTTTGGTTTGTAGTAACATTTGCATTTAGCTTGGACACATTGCGATCAGCTAGGGGCGCGCTCGCCCAATAATGGCAGCAATCCTTCGTAAACCCTCCACCGAAATGATAATATCTCCTTCCCCTTCCCGTGGCGGGCGATCAAACAGATCAGCAAATTCTAGTCGTAGTGCACCTCTAGTAACACGATAGGATTCAGGAAGGGTTGGATTTGCATCCGGGGCCCTTGCGATGTTGATGGTTTGATGAAGGTATGGTCTTAGACCAGAGTCGCCCCCTATTGCTCGAAGAGTCATTGTACCAGAATGTCGGCCAGATAGACGTTCTCGCCACTTTTCAATCGTTATTTCTCGTCGTGATGGGAGATGCATCTTCACCAGAAGAACTATTTTGACTTGATGGTTCGATTCGCTGAACCACCACTTCATCTCTCGCCTTAAGGCTTCAAGTGACTGCGAGTAGCCGGCTTCAATAACAAGCGTCGGCCAGTCTCGATCCTCTGGCTCAAATGGGCGTCCAGTTGAGTCACCCTCCCCAGATGAGGTTCCACCATGTCGCTGCTTATATGTTGCACCCCCCCCGCCAAGCCAGTTAAGCCCCATCTCACGGATTATCCACCTGATCTCAAAGTCAAGCTCTCTATGCATATATTCATGATGCTCAGTCGGAATTGTAATAATGAGCAGGGACTGTTCTGGATAGAATCGCTTAAATCGATATTTCCGATGCTTCGATTCTCGGTACTTGTCAAGAATATCATAGACTTGTGGAGACACATCTAAGAAAAATCCTCAGGTGTTAGCCTGATGGTAAGTAAGTCTAGCTGTTTGTTTTGCTTTTCTTTACCTTGCACGTAGAGCACGTCTCCTTCTGTTGCGTCTATGGTTTGGGCAAGAAGTTGGGCCGTTTGAAATCTGACCACAGGTGGTTTCTCGGACCCGATGGATGAGATAGTTGTAGGGTCAGTATCAACAGACATAGCCGCTTGTGAACCCGCCTGTGAAGCTACCGAGCCTGATCGTGATGAATGATTGGATCCATTTTTGGTGTATGCGTGGAGAAAAAGGCAGGGATTAAGCACGTTTTGGACTTATTTTTGTGGAAACTGAAGAACAAAGGGAGACCCGCCCGAACTAGTCAGGCTAATCAAAGCTCCCTGATAAGGGCTTATCGGTAAGTGACCCCCAACGCCTGAATCAATGCTGCTTGGCTCTGTTGTGCGCTGCCCCGCTGAACATGCGCTTAGAGGCTGATTTCCCTCTGCTGCTCTGCTAAGCAGAATCGAGGAGGCCACCACCGCTACCTCCTGCCACCAACCACTCCCACTGCCGGCTTGGAAATGTGCTGAGCCACTGCGTTCAACCTCCAACTCAAGGATTCCAACCCTACCCACCCCCAAGTATACCTTGCGGCGCTCAGACAACAACATCAGCTTCCCCCGGCGATACATTCTTCTCACCCAGGTATGTACCTCGCCTAAATCCCTGTTGCGTACGGCTGGGCACGGCATGTCTCGCCCACCTGTCCCTCGCTCGTGCAAAGTCCCAACCTACGTCACGGCGTCACCCCGACCGACCCCTCGTGTGCTCATCCCATCCCCCAAGCTGCCTCAACCGTTTTGTCTAGTGTCCCTCCCAGACTCGCCAATTCCATTTTATTCTGAGATAAACCTTGTTTTCGTCCTATCTCCCAGCTGGGCGGATACCATCTGCCTTGTGAAGAGGCCGTTACTTTCGCAGCCTGAAGGAAGCACTACCCCACAGTCGGATTCCCATCAGGCTAACAGATCTGGTATTTCTAGAAAGCGAGATTGTGCACACGCACCTCCAAAGAGCACGAGACTTATGATCTTGAGCTAGGACACTTCACCTAGGGACCCCTCTTCCGACCCTTCCGCACCATTTCCTGTCTTCAAGAGCCTGTCGCCACCTAGTCCAAGAAGCGCAAGAGCCAGCGAAAGCCAGCGAAGAGAGAGACCCGTGGTATCGAGTCTATACAGAAAAAAAAATTTATCGTCGGTGAAACGCCAAACATCGGCATCGACGTTCTTATCTACAAAGCTGGCAGGCAATAAGCGACGCAGTCTCTCCTCCCAGGGAGGAAGTCTGCTAAATAGAATGTTTGGTGGTTCCAATTCCGGGTCCAAAGGCGAACCTGATTCCTCCAAGACCGAGAACAAGGCCCCTTCTCGCGAGGCGAGCCCTGGCGCGAACCCGATCAAGGCGACAAACCAAGCTGCTAGTGGTGAGAAGCGCAGTGGTAATGGAAGCCCCCCCGGCAGGAGTGACAATGGCCCCTCCACGGATAAGAAGCGCAGGAGTAGTGGTGTTGGAGGCAAGGCTAGCAGCCTCTTGGCCTCAGCCAAGAATAGCTTGAGCTTCAACCCAGGCCGAAGCAACTCTGGTTCGGAAGCCCAAGGCCCTATTCAGAAGCTGGGGAAACAGGACCCTGCTTTGGCTGTCCCGCAGGGTCAGCATAATAACTCTGCAGGGGAATCGCTCCCTGGACCTAGATCTACCTTTCGTGTCGGCGTCTGGGAAGACAGGAATAAGAAATGTCGCCGTACGATGGAAGATACGCACGCCTTTTTATACAACTTTTTACCAACCCCGGCCCCTGCCACGGATGCGCAGGACAAAGAGAAGGCCGAGAAGGGTGACGATGCGGAAACCTCTCAAAATGACGCTGTTGAGACCGACAATGGCTACTTCGCTATTTTCGATGGCCATGCTGGTACCTTTGCAGCAGACTGGTGCGGAAAGAAGCTACATATTATTCTCGAGGATATCATTAGAAAACACCCGAATGCGCCCATCCCCGAACTCTTAGACCAGGCATTTACATCGGCTGATGCGCAGCTAGAGAAGCTTCCAGTTAAGAATAGCGGTTGCACAGCCGCCATTGCTGTCCTGCGCTGGGAAGACCGGGTCCCAAGTGATAGGTCCGCAACTGGGTCCCAGTCCATTGCACCGGCAGCTGCGGCTGTTACCAAAGCCGCCAAAGTCGATGACCCATCGGCTTCTGAGAAGGACCAAGAGCAAGCTGCAGCGGACATCCTGACAGCTACATCGTCCGAATCGGCCCACGCCAAGTTAAAGGGAACTGCCAGCCGTCAGCGTGTTCTCTACACAGCCAACGTGGGAGATGCACGAATCATCTTATGTCGTGCTGGCCGAGCCCTTCGCTTGTCGTACGACCACAAAGGCAGTGACGAGAACGAGGGCCGACGCATCGCGAATGCTGGAGGATTAATTTTGAATAACCGTGTGAATGGAGTCTTGGCAGTCACACGAGCTCTGGGCGACACCTATATGAAGGATCTTGTCACGGGCCATCCCTACACGACAGAGACGGTAATTCAACCTGACAGCGACGAGTTTATCATCATAGCTTGTGATGGAGTAAGTTATTCTGGAGCCAATTCTTCACAGTGTCTTGACTACATGCTAATCTGAATTCTTATACACTTAGCTCTGGGATGTTTGCAGTGACCAGGAAGCCGTTGACTTGGTGCGAAATATCGATGATCCCGTCACAGCATCCCAGCTTCTGGTTGATCATGCTTTGGGCCGTTTCAGTACCGACAATCTGTCGTGTATGATTGTGCGACTCAACAAGGACGCGCTTGTCCATACCCAGCAGAGCAAGGATTTGGGAGTCGAGACAGATAATGCTCCGACCAGAGCTACTGAAGCGGACAAGATTGTTGAAGATATGAAGCAGAAGATTGCTGACGGGACTGCACCGGCCGTTGGCGTTTCTGCCAGCAACAGCGGGCGTGGCTACGATCCGACAACAAACGAGGACGGGGAGTTTGTACCTACCACATTGGACGGTACCGTGTTGGAGGAGGAGCCGGAGGCCATTTCGGATACTGAGAGCCCCGAACCTAAACCGAAGGTGGAGAAGGTTGGATCGGAAACAGAGACAGTGAAGGCGGATGTCGACAAGTCAAAGTCCTGACCCATCTGGAGTGCCTCGGCTGCGTAGGATCTCGATCACAGTCCGCACCAGAGCACAAGAAACCAGAAACCAGGCATTTGGCATCAGGCGCTTGCTTTATTTTTTTGCTGTCCATGTTTCAAGAAGAGAAGGTGTACGGGGAAACGACTCGAGCACTCTACGTATTAGCATTGAAGATTCGTGGAATTACTAGTATTCCTGCGTGTGAAAGAACTCAAATAAATGATTGAATTATATTATATGCCTCGTGCTGGCTGATTGACAAGCTACGAACGAACGAACCGTTCTGGTGGCGGGCGTTTGCTGTGTGAGACGCAGGGAAATGATGCAATCTTGGGGGAGAACCGGGGACCTCCCTGATGGCTGAGGAGTTGCGTTTTGGTCGGACTTTGTGCCATTTCGAAGGAGCCTGATTGACGAACAGCAGCATACCCCTATTAGACGTCTATATTTAACCCAACTGCTAGGTAGCAGTGAACTATGTGCTACGTAATTACACATATACAGTGGATGGGCAGACAAGGCTCGGACGGCATCCTCTGGGAGTGATGTGATGAATGTGATGCAGACTCTCACGGCATGGTGGAAATTGGCCACCAGCACGGGATTATACATGGCGCTACTGAACGAAACGACACTTGTGCGTTCTGTCTGCACGTGTGGTATGCCCGACTTTGCCATACCTGGAGCAAGGAGCGGATATCAATAATATCGGGACGACAGCGCCATCGAGTGTAGGCACGCCCCCTTAGGGAATAGTTTGTGCCGGTCTCTCATTTGCCTGCCCACCCCCTGAGTAAGTCTTTAGAGCCCCTGGGTGCCAAGGTGCAGAAGCCCCATTTCTGCCCCTGTCGAGGTCCCCCGCCCCCCCTGCAGACCCGGTCCCATCATCCATTGCCTCCAATGGTTTTGGGCCATTGGGGCTGGCCTTGGGTAGGAAGGAGCAGTCGCCTCTGAGTACAGCGGCGCAAGAGCCAGCATCTCGAAAATTATGCTGTGTGGTGCTCCCTGAAGCATTGGTCCAATCCTGCCTGCCCTTCCCCGAAGACACGCCACCACAACCACCACCACATTCTTTGGGAGGGCACAGAGAGACCCAAGTTTGTTTTCTATGCCAGCTCCCTCCCTGGCGAAAGATGAGACCTCTGCGCCTATCTTTGACTTGAAACAAGCGCCCGTTCTCTTTGTCTGATCTGATTCCAGCAATCCTTTTTTCTTTCTGCTGGCGGGGAGTCAACTTTCTACATTGGATTTGTTCGTGCCCAGTGCCCTCCGCAGCTTTCTATAATCACTCACTCGTTGCCTATTCGTTGTCTTTGTTTCGCCGTTTTCTTCACGTTCGCCCACGGTCATTTTCCCCTTTTTTAAATTGTTGTTTTCTTCACGAGTGCGTTCCGTCTACCAACCATCATATCTGCGCGCCTCCTCCCTTGCAGAGGCGGTTCTCAATTCGGCAGTCACGGCCCCCCTCGATCCAGCCTCGGAAGCGATTCTCTGTCTGTCGCCACACCCCAATGCCCAGCACGTCCGACCGATTGCATGTCGATATCTGTGCGCGGTACCAGCATCTGATACCCAGCCCTCGAGACAGCGAACCCGTGCCGCCCCTCAGCCATCGGAACGGTGCGCCAGTCCTGCTATTAGAATATCTCCTCAACCCGTGCTCCTCTCTGCATGGGGCCGGATCATAAGGCATGTCGTTGAATGGATTGGACGATCCCAAGGTCGCAGAGGCCTATGTAGCGGCTTCGGCTGAACCTGGAGGATGGTAGGTGCCCGTTCATTGTTATATATGTGTTTGGTGAGGTTGTCGCAGACGAGGCAGGCGCTAATCTTTTGTCAGGTTTCTTCTGAAATATTCGAGTCGCGATGAGGTCGAGTTGCTCAGCAATGGCACCGGTGGTGTTGCTGAGATGCGTGGTGCTGTGGCAGCATACGAGGAGACAAATCCACTCTATGGTTTCTTGAAATATAGAAGAAGGAATGTCCTGGTCAAGTATTTGCCGGAGGGATGTT